GGCGAAGTACAAAACCTTAGTCTCCAACGGCTTGTCAAACTCAGAGAAGATCTTAGCAAACTCTTCGTCGGTGAGGCCCCGAAGCCTGTCATCACCCTTGGGAGGGGGATTCCTCCGATCCCACTCATCATCTAGTTCATCCCAAGCTTCTTCATTATCACCATCGTCGCCACAAGGAACAGGTCCCACACCAGCGCCATCATCCTCAGGATCGCCACTCTCTTCGGTCTCCTCCAACATCTTCTCATCACGCTCTTGTCCTGGGACGGGATCATCTGGAGGTTCCTGAGGCAGAGTATACGCTCCAACAAGGAGATATCGGTAATCATTGTGGTTTGGGTCTGCGGCCTTGTTGCGAAACGGGCCAGCTATATCCAGGCCCAAACAAAATGCACTGGGATGCCGGATGCGACGGTGGGCTCGCCCTGTAGCCTTGCTCATCACACAGGTCTTGCATTTGCGATTGAACGGAATGTGGTTGTTGAGCACGTGACTTTTCCATCGCTGCAGCTCTTCGTTGGTGAAGCCCTCCAAAAACTTCTTCGGATCGGCGTCGAGGCGCTTCATCCACCGTTCAACTTGTAGACCTTCCGGACTCCATTTCCAAGCTTCCACCGCAGAAAGCACAGTCCTCTTGAACTCCTCGGTCCACACAGAAGAACTCGGAAGCTCAGGCAAGACGGCCGGAAAAAACCATGTTCGTCACCAAAGAGGTCCCGGTTTCTTCCAAACACAACTGTTCTAGGACGCCCTTCCAAACTGATCTCACCGTAGGCCAACGAACGAAGTCCTTAGAGCGCAAAGCGTTGAGCAAACGAACGCCCTCGATCATTGCAAAGACTGGTGCTCCAGGACGGTGAGCTCGGGCAGCCTTGGCAACAGCAACTAACCACAGCTGCTTCAGCAACAGTTGAGAGTCACCCTCGCTCCGGCAAGGAGGGGCACCAATGATGCCATCCACCCTTCCTGTAGCCGCCGCCCATAACAAAGCCCGATACACACCAGAGACCTTGAACATGTCATAGGCCATAGATTTCGCGATGTCAATCTCTACCAGCACTCTAGAATCTTCAAGGGTCCTGAACACCGGGTCCACGCCTTTGCCAGAACCCGCATACAAGTGAACTATCCACGGCGTGTTCATCAGCCTCTTCCGCCTTGTCCTCGAACAGGGAATCGCCTTCAGGTAGTTCCAGCCAGCGCTGTCGGACAAGTCAACTTGCTCGCATAAGGCACTCCTCTCCACATCCGAAAGCCCCATGAAAGGTGAGTCCCGAGCCGTCAGCGCAAGGAGCTGAGATGCACGAGTGCCAGTCATCAAGAACTCCTCCAAATGGGACGCCCACTCCTTGTCCTGATCCCACATCCACAATCTCTTTGGGGTGTTATTCGTGGAATCCCGAAGAGACTGGACCTTGAGCTCCTCTAGCTCGTGGATCAACTCCAAAGCACAAGCTTCACCAACAAGCGGGCACTTTCCCACCACCTGAGGACGTATGATCCCATGTTGCGGATGACGAATCTCCAAGCCCTTCCGACGCGTCCATTGAAGATCACACCCTAAGTCCTGAACCAAAGAGCCGAGGGGGACTATGGGTGCAACATGCGCCTCCTCGGTCGAAGTCGTCTTGAGGAGCGTGCCTGCAGCGTTCTGCGCCAAAGTAATCTCGGAGCCATTGGCCAACTGAACATTCACTCGGTCCGCAACTTGAACTTCCTCTTCTGACGCCATTCTAAATGGATGGCTCGCTCCAGAGTCCAAGAGGCCCGATCGCCCCGTCATAGGACCACACCCATGGGAGACCGCTTCGTTCTCCACTCGCGTAGAAGACAGAGCCATCATCTTCAACTGCCTCATCTCCTTGAGCATCGCATTCGCCTCCATCAAAAGTTGTCGCACCTCAGCTTCTGGAATTGCTGGCATGGTCGGCTCTTCCTTAACAGGCGGCTCTTGACCAACCGCAGACACCGAAGTCGAGGGCACTGACAAAGTAGACGCCGCTGAAGAGGAACCCCCTGAGCTCGCAGGCACCGTTGCCATAGAGGCAGCCAGCTGCGCCACCGCCGACCCCTTGGGGGCCCCTTTTGGAGGCCTTCCACTGGGACTGTTTCCTCCCTTCTTCACAGTGCAAGCTGCCTGCTGGTGCTGGGTCGATCCACAAGTCCAGCATCTGCCAGCCTTTTCCTTCTTCGAAAAGTTGTGGGAGAACTGACAACCATGGCCCTTGCTGCAACCAGAATCTGTGAGAAAGAATTTGCATGGGATCTGACCCTTGCCCTTCGGGGAGTTCGCGGTAGAATCATCAAGTTGTTCACGGATTCCAGAAGCATTCACCGCCTTCAACTTAGTGGTATCAGAAGCCGTAGTAGTCACCGACGCCTTGGCTGGGGCGATCGTCTGCAGCTCCGCAAGGATCGTGTTGTAGTACCTGATCACTGCTGCGCTCTCTGGGCGGCTGTGAAGAGAAAGCTCATTCTTGGTCAGGGCCACCCGAAACTTCACATCTGGATGGGCTTCCAAAGCCCGCTTGGAAATCTGCTCCACACTTCGAAGAAGAACCGAAGCATCCGGAACCGCTATCCCAATGTCCTCGGCTCGCTGCAAGTACCGCCTCCATCGCCGTAGGGCTGTAACGCAGACATGAACATCTTCTCCAACTGCTTGACCTTCCAAGTGTTTGAGAATCATCGTCCTTTCCGCTGAACCTCCCGGCTGGTAGAGCACGTACATCCTATACAACAAAGCCGGGACTGTCGAAATCCTGTGCGTGATGGCTTCGTCCTTCGCCGTCTTCCTCATGGAGTTCAGAAGGAGAGACATGACCTTTCTCTCGAGACGGGACCATTTTTGGTCCTTGAGCTCCAGCGGGATCTCAGGAGTCAGCGAAAGACGCTGCAGCGGCGTGGAGGTTGCGTAGGTGTCGTAGGTGGTCCGCGCCACTTCCAGACAAGCACTAAACCAAAGGGCCGCTCGGTCCGACAAACTCCCAATAGCCTGTTCGGCTTCGTAGATCCAGTCCGAGAACTCCACCGCTGCGTCCGGACCAACATCCGGCATTTGTGGCAAATCCACCGTTCCCTTGAGATCGCCTTCGGGGCGTCCCAAGTACGCTTGCTGAAGCTGGGCCATTCCCTGCACTAGAAGACTCATCGGATCTCCTGCGCTCACAGAGGGGCCAGCCGAACTGTCACGAACCGCTCCAACAGGAGCGCTAGCCTGAGCTGAACCGCCCAGATGTGGCTCCGTTCCAGATCTTGTTCCAGTTGCTGCACCGCCGTCTCCGGACTCCCTTGGGAGACTAACTCCCGGTCCTGGCGGTTCACCTCCAGCAACGCCTGAAACACCTTGTTGTCCAGAAGGATTGCCACGAAGAACTCCGTGGTCGTGCTGAGGCCGATGCTGAGGGATCTGCGCTCCTTCAACAACACCCCGTAGAGGAACACCGGGACTCGGTTGTAGTCCAGGAGGATTTTCAAGGATCCGTCCTTGCTGGCGAACTGGTACTTGAAGAGTTCCACCCTGCGCCACTTCTCGGTTGAACGCAGTCTCCTGGGGCCCCAAAGTCACTTCAGTTCCACCTCCACCCTGACCACCCGAATCCGATGCTTGACCCAGCAACCGACCAACCATCTCACGAAGCTGCTGATTCTCCGTCAACAACTTCTGCTGTCTTTCGTCGTGTTCATGTAGTTGCTGCCTAACTTGTCTCTGCACTTCTGCAACGATCTGCTCTTGGTTCAAAGACTCTCTGGACGAGTTGCTCTGAGGCTGCTGATGAGGAGGAGAGCCATAAAGAAGAGGTGCCCTACGAACCCACTGTGCCATCTGCTGCTCTGCCGAAGCCGAAAACAAACGAGGCCTTGGTGAGGCCGCCGTCCAACTGCCGGGCGGAGTTAAAGAAGAAGGCTGTGGAGGGTCCTCTGCTCTCTGCCGGTTCTCCAAGAGGGGCGTCACGATCGCGCCAGCTTGGTTCACCCTTCGCTGAACAAACTCTCCCAATCGAAACAGCCACATCCCACCTTGTTGAGAAGCTCGTCCTTCGGGAGTTCCCGGCAGCTCCTCTGGCGGAGAGACACTCATGCCACCCACTAGGACCTGCTGAGTAACCTGCTCCACAGTACTTGCCGAACCCATAGGAGGCAAAGGGGCAGGATTAGCAGGCTGGGCAAGAGGACCATGAGCATTCGTAGTCGTGGGCGTTGGGCCTACAGCAGTAGCCTGTGCCATGTTCTGAACAGGAAGCTCATCGCTGGTACGAGTCAGGGATTCAGCTGTTGCAGGAACTGGAAGTACATCCACTCCCACAGGATCAAGCTGTCCTCCTCTCTCGCCCAAAGCATGTCCCTCACTGATCACAGCACTCTCTGCAGGCACGCCAACCATTGAAACACCCCCGCCATTGACCAAACTCTCTCTCTGGCCAACAGCACTAGGAGCAGCAACTGCACCGTAGTCAGGTCCATCCCCTTCGCCTTCCAACGAAGTCGGCATCAACGGTTTTGGGCTCATACCCTGAAGAGCTTTGGGCTCTGGGTAGGCTCAAGGGTTCAGAACCATGCGGCGCGGCAGCTAACCTTTTCGCACTCCGAAAGCAACGTGTTAAGTGATCTCTCAAAGCTGACGATCTTTACAAGTCTACTCTGAGAATCGTGATTTGACTCATGCTCAAGCCTCAAAGCTGAGCCACAGTACATGTCACCGTCACAACGAAGTGAGAGCTCTTCCACAGGTACTTATAAGTCCCCTAGAGAACCAGTTACTAAGTCCCCCGACCCTCCAAGAACCGAAACAAGCCTCAAACTCCAAAGCCCTGAAAACTTGTCATCGGGCATAGGGTTTAGGGTTTAGGGTTTAGGGGTTAGGGGTTTAGGGTTTAGGGTTTAGGGTTCATATGCAGCTCTTGACGGGAAAACGGGTCGTTGGTACCGGGACTCAAAGCGAGAGACCATCTGCAACCCTCCGCACGCTCTTGTCGTAGTGTCCTCCTCTTCTCTGCAAGGCTGCCGCTGGTTCCAGCAAGGTGCAGTTCCTTCGGGCTGGCGCCGTGGGGGCCGCCCGGCCAAAAGCGCCTCTGGGATGGGTACGGGTTTAGGGTTTTGGGTTGATGAGCTTAGGGCTTTGCGGTCTATGGGGCAAGGTTCAGGGTTTGTAGCTGACAGGGCGAAGGCTAAGGGGAGGGTTTATGGGGCAGGTCACAGTGGGACGAAGATGACTCCATCCAAAACTTCTCAACCCTAAGCCCTAAAAAGTCCTCGGCTCATGCTGCCCAGAGACTCCAAGAAACCCCTTAAGTAAGGAATATGTAATATACTCTACGTCATATTAGGGTTTCTATTCTAGTTCAATTTAAGTAGATTCCTAATTCTTATAGATCTCTTTAAGGATCCTTCGAAGGAGCGCTTAAACGGAGATTCTGTACTTACGGGGCCTGAGGATCGGATCGACGTTCTTGTCGGTTTCCCTAAATCTCTAGAGCCCCTAAACCCAAAAACCCTAAATCCTAAACCCTACTTAGCGGCCCAGGAGACTTAATAAGTAGGCTTTAAGTGGAGTTAGAAGTACCTTAAGTGGATTGCCCCAATTATTTATATCAGACTTACTAAGTCGCCTGTGCCTCCAAGTAAAGCCTGCCGTCGTCCTTGCTGCATCAGCCAAAGAGGGCTTTGGAATCCTCAGGTTTGTCGATGCCCAGAGACTCCCTAATATGATTTAAGGCTTACTTCTTAACTATGGCCTTTGCGCACTTTTTCTTGTGGCTCCCGCATTGAAACCGAATAGTAGGAAAAAAGGTACCTTCATTTCTAGCGAAAACGCAGGCCCCATGACAGTCCCTTCTGCAAAAGGGGCACTGGGGAACCTAGACCAGGCAGACAAGAAACTTTTTTTTTTTTTTTCCGATTTGTCCTTTCGCATGGTGCCTCACGGCGCTTTGTTTTTTGTTTTTCGAGCCATGGCAGCTACTGTAGATTCTGCCCGTTGTCAACACATAGATTTGTCCTTTTCCATGCCCCACGTGGAGGGTCGGGGCACTTAGTAATTGGTTATTTTAGTAGTACCATAGCCCCAGTGAGGGTCCCGTTCAAGGGTACTTAAAAGTCTACTTACTACCTACTTACTACGTCCCCCGACCCTCCAAGCAAGCTAACCCTAAACCCTAAACCCTTAACTTATAGAATCCCTATGGATCCCTTTAAAGGGGCCCTTAAGGAATTATATTTCTAACCCTAAAACTCAACCCCAAGTCCGGTTTCTCAACTTTCAAGCCAACGTCTGGAACTCCGCAGTCGTCATCTTAAATATGGTTCGGCGCCCAGCCCCTAAACCCTAAACCCTGGACCCTAAACCCAAAAGTCCCTACACCCTAAACCCTAAACCCAAAAGTCCCTACACCCTAAACCCTAAACCCAAAAGTCCCTAAACCCTAAAACCTAAAACCTAAAACCCTAAAACCTAAACCCCCAAACCGCACAGAACCCAAAACCCACAAGTCCCTCAACCTTTTTTGACTTCTCTGACGTCAACCTCGCAGCGCGGCATGCCATGCAAGTGACAAAAACACCATCAAGGTTCCAGGGTTTAGGGTTTTAGGGTTTAGGGATTAGGGTATAGGGTTTGCAAGTGAAACTTGTATCCCTCACTCGCTAGCCTTCTCAGCCAGGATTATCGCGATGACCGACAGCCTATGGAAGGATCAAAAGCTCGCCAGGCGGGCCAGGGATTTCTCTTTAGCTCCGTACGTATCCGAGCCATATCGAAATCCCGTGCCATCCTTGACTTACCTCCTCGGCCTGATCATTGTGTGCTACTGCAGTTGCTACCGCTTTCATGGTAGCGGAGCCTGCCTATTGAGAGGCAGGTTCCTTGGGATCCAGGGCAAGAAGGGCTCCAGTTGTGAGCAGCTGGAGATACGATGAGCGGAACGGCTGAACAGCCGACAACTGCTGTGGGGCGAACAAAGGATGGAATTCCCACCTGGGGTGGGGAGGCCGCGTCCTTCACTCAGTACGAGGAGGCCGCACTGTTATGGGAACAGTCGCTGACGTGGGAGAAGAGATACACTGCAGGACCCAAGCTGGTCCAGGAGCTGACAGGGGCAGCAAAACGCCTAGTGTCAGGACAGCCGGCTGGATGGGTGGCGTTCAGAGGAGGGGTGGCTACCCTCATGACCCCCTTTAGGGCTGCTTTGGGAAAGCCACGGGTCAACGAAGTCGCAATCTACTTCAAGGGATCACGCCGTAAGACTCAGGAGAGCATGAACGATTACATCACGAGAAAGACTGAAGCTTACATGAGGGCAAGCCAGAGCCTACGCCGTGTCCAACCCCACTACACTACCGCTACCCAGCTCCGACCTCCTGCAAGCTACTCCAATCAACGTCGTGACAGCTATGACAGTGCAGGATGGAATTGGTCTCGGCAATGGACTCCAGCGACCGAGGACGCTGGAACAGGTGACCTGAACACCGAGGCCGGCACCGAGACCACCGCGGAGACACCGGCGGAGGAAGAACATCCTCACCGATGGTATGTGCGTGACGACTGGGACTATCGCCAGTGGGACAACTCGTGGAATACAGGGAGTTGGTACCACTCCTACCCCTCCTATTGGGGCCGATGGGGACCTCAAGAATGGAGTAGCCGCGCCTCGACCTCGAGCACCTCGACTCCCAATGACAATGGAGGGGAACTACTCCCTTCTTTCATCCAAGGGTGGTACCTCCTTGCGGATGCGAACCTGGATGCAGGAGAACGCAACCTGGTGATGACAGGTTCGGGAGGGAACTTCGACCCGATGAGAGTCGCTCAGGAGCTCCGGAATCAGTTTTCTGAAGGAGACATTCGAAAGCGAGATGCTTCGCGCCGCTACCAAGGCCTCATGGGAGAGGCCGGGGAAGATGAGGCGGGGTATGACGACGAGCCGTACCCCGACGACACCACGACCGAGCTCACCGACGAGGACATGGCCCTAGTGGCCGACGCCGAGATTGTCGCCCAGGAGGCCATGGCCACCATGTTCAATGCTCGCCGCACACTGCGGGATGCCCGACAACGCCAGCACACCGTCAAGCAGAACAGGAAGTACTACCAAGGTAGTGGGTCCGGCAATCGGACCAATGCTGGCTCCACCTCTTCGTCCTCTACGTCGGCCCGGCCGCGCGATGACAGCCAGATCGAATGCCTACGCTGCGGGGTAAAAGGACACCGTGTGGCACAGTGTCCACACAAGCCCCTGGGCGACGGACGAAGTCAAGCTAGCATGGCAGAGAGCGGGACAGAACCACAGTCAGCACCCTTCGTGTGCTTCACCGACTCCCTCGCCGGCTATGTGAACGATCTTGAGAACCAGCAGGCCATGAGCGTCTTGGAGAATGAGGATCTCCTCTCCACCGCGGAGGCCGTCGACCTCGGCATGGCCGTAGTAGACGGCGGGGCAACTCAGACAATTGGCTCTGTTGCAGCAGTCGAAGCAGTGATGCGTCGCAACAAGGCCAAGACCGGCTCTTCTGGACTATGTGGCCTGAACACCAAGGACCCTCCGTTCTTCACCTTCGGGAACTCGTCGGAGAACCGCTGTCTCAGCACAGCCCACCTCCAGATCAAGGCCGGAGGGAACCAAGGCGAGATGAGGATCCACACCCTCGAAAGTGGAACGAGTCCAATTTTGATGAGCATCGAGACATTGCGGAAGATTGGTGCAATCATAGATTTTCAGGCGGATCTCGCCGTCTTTCGCGAGATCGCCCCCAACCGCGTCGTGAAGTTGGCGCGAGGCGAGGGCGATCAGGACACCAGCTTCTCCCTCTGACTGAAGACTGGCTTAGCAGTTCCCAAGTTGCGAGTCAGGAGATTCCAAGCCTGAAGGCTTATCTCCCGGCCAGACCATAGGGACAGCTCCTCTCTGCTGTTGCCCCTGACAAAAGCAGAGAGGTCGAGTGTAGACCAGGGACAAGGGTTTGTGACATAGTTTCTGCGAATCACTCTGGGGAACAAGGGTTGGTTTGTGGAGCTGATGTTAGTCGGGGGTGTGATAGAGAAACATTGGGTGCGGTTGCGTGCGAGTGGCCCAGTCTGAGCAGTGAGTGCGGTGCAGCCAATCTACAGCGAGAACATGATGAACATTGTTGTGTACGAAGCAGCAATCTCAGCTCAGTACCTAGTGCCCCTCCAGCCCTTCCTGAAGGACACCATGGACCGCCTCACCGTGCCGCAGATGGTTCTCAGCCTCCGTGCGTGTGGCGAGGAACCACCAAAGAGTTGGACGAAGATCCAGCTCCTGACCCGCCTCCGGGAGCTCGAAGAAGCAGGAGAAGTGCAAGCACCAACTACCGGCTCCAAGGCGAAGACACCGTTGGCTACCGCGGTTGCCGACCTCAATGCGGCTGCCGGCAAAAAGGCCAACCTCCAGAAGTTCGTGACCGAGGAGTGCGGTTTGAAGATCACGGGCAACGAGACGATCGTGATCCTGCAGCAGAAGGCGATGGCCCACCTCCTCACCTCAGTAGAGCCCTCGGAGCAGGAGTGCCTGGGCTTCGGGAATTATGCGAACCAAACGTTTGCGTGCGCCAGCAGGACTACCAGTACTGCCAGTGGGTGATGACCACAGCCAAGGAGGGCGAGTGTTCTCAATACCTGAAGCGCTTTGCCAACTGGCTGGAGATGGTCAAGAACCCCCCGGCAAAGGTCGACCTGAACCGCATTGCCCCGCTCAGCAAGGCCAAGTACTCCAAGAAGGCGGTCAAGTGAGCAAAAGCGTCCTCCCCCACGGAATCTGGCTTCCTTGGAACCTCTCCCTCCGAAGCTCTATACTATTGAAGCCGACATTGGGCATTGGACTCACCCACACACTGAAGAGAGTGTCAACTTCATGATCATAGTTGGTGAAGGGTCCCGTTACCGCGCGGCTCGAATTCTGACCGAAGGGTCCAAGAGGACTCCCGGAGCACAGGACTGCCTCCACTACCTACAGGAGGGATGGGTCCAGTACTTTGGACATCCGAGATGCCTGCGTTTGGATCCCGCTGGAGGTTTCAGGAGCTCAGCTGTGGAGGAATGGTGCGATCGGCATTCCGTCTTCCTTGACATAGTCCCAGGAGAAGCTCATTGGAAGATAGGAGTAGTTGAAAACGCGGTAAAGGGTGTGAAGGAGGTCATGACTAAGCTCTGTCAGTACGACCCAGAACTTACACCACAAACTGCGCTGGCTGAAGCAATCACCACGTTCAACAAGGAATTGGTACGAGGCTATTCCCCCGCCCAACATGTGCTGGGTCAGGCTCCAGATGAGACAGGACGGTTCATTCCAGCCGGAGGCCAGCTTCATCCCGGACTTCTGGTAGAGAACCCCTCTGGGGAATTCGAGCGAAGCATCCGATTACGATCGGAAGCTGAAAAGGCCCTGTGTGACTGGAATGCGAACCAGAGGTTACTACGAGCCAAACACTCCCGCCACCGTCCTGCCTACGACTTCATCCCCGGCGAGTTGGTGTACTACTGGCGGACCCAGGACTCCAACAAGGGGAGACGACAACCGGGCGGGAAACACGGCCGGTTTCTTGGACCGGCCAGAATTCTGGCCACCGAGACAAGGCGACTACCGGATGGCAGTGCCCAACCGGGAGGCGCTATATGGCTGGTGAAGGGAAGGAGCCTTCTGAAGTGCTCCCCGGAGCAACTGAGGTGGGCCACGGAACGCGAGGAACTCCTGGAAGCTTTGGGCGATCCAGCCCAACAAAGGTTACGGCTGCGGCCGACCAGATAGGCGGCAACCGCTTCGAGGACCTCTCCAACATGAAGCCGGACACCGAGGAGCGGCATCGGGCTCAACGACCTGATGAAGAACAGCAGCCTACAAGGTATCGCCTCCGGTCCAAACGACCCGTGCATGCGCCAGCAGATCTCCTACCCATGGAGGAGGACACCGAGGAACCCGAGGTTCCCCAACCTGGTCGCGAGCGCTCTCGATCAACGGGCCGGGCTTCCACAGACCGTGGTGCACCATCCGAAGAACTAGGTGACTTCAGTGCCTGACCACCAATGGCCAGAGCAACAGAGTGGCTACTGGAGTGACAAGCAAGCAGCTGTGGAAGTGGAGATCCCTCTCCCTGACTCACAACGAGGCAAGGAGAAGGCTTGGCGCGATCTGGGTTCTTACTTTGTGGGTAGCATGAAGCGCAAAGCAGTGGAACTGTCAGAGCGGAAATTGTCTCCAGAGGATCGTGAGGCATTCAACAGTGCCAAGGCTGTGGAAGTTCGGAACTTCGTTGCCTCCAAGGCATTCCAAGTCATCCCTGACCATTTGCGGCCCTCCAAGGAGCAGGCGATTGGTATGCGGTGGATCCTGACTTGGAAGCTGAAAGACGACGGGTCTCGCAAGGCGAAGGCCCGAGCAGTCTTGCTCGGCTATCAGGACGAGTCCTACGAACACCGCGCTACCACCTCACCGGTTATGGCTCGGCAGACTCGCCAGATGCTTCTGCAACTTACCGCGTGGCAGCGATGGAAGATGCAAAAAGGAGACGTGACAAGGGGCATTCCTTCAGAGCAGGCCTTACCCCGACGATCTGTTTTGCATTCCGTGTCCTGAAATTTGCCGTGCATTAGGAATCCCGGAGGGCAGCATTACCAAGGTGCAAAAGGCTTGTTACGGCCTTGTTGACGCTCCTCTAGAATGGTACCGATCAGTGGATGAATTCCTTCGTGAATTAGGATTTACCAAGCTGTGGTCTGATCCTTGTTGTTGGGTTCTCAGGGTTGAGGGGAAGCTCCGAGGCGCCATCAGTGGTCATGTCGACGATTTTCTCTTTAGTGGAAACGAAGGGGATGCTCTCTGGGAAAGCAAGCTCCAAGCCATCAAAGAAAAATCAAGTGGGGTGACTGGGAATCCGGCAAGTTCACTCAGTGTGGTGTTGTAGTGGAACAGACCCCCGACGGCTTTGAACTCTCCCAACCGCATTACCTCGAGAACCTTCACGAGATAGGAGTGAACGCCACCCGTAGGAAGGACACCTCCCAAGCCACCTCAGACAAAGAAAAGACCCAACTTCGAGCCTTGTTAGGAGGCATCAGCTGGCATGCTCAGCAGGTTGCGCCCTACCTCGCAGCGGAAGTTAGCCCGTTACTAACCGAGGTAACACGAAGCGCCGTGGACACCATCATCCGCGCGAACATGCTCTTGGCCACAGCGAAGAGCAAGCAATCCTACAAGATGAAGGTCCACGCCTTCAAGGAGGAGGACGAGCTCACCATGGTGATGTGGGTTGATGCGGCTAATGGCAACCGCATCGACGGAGGCTCCACCCAGGGCCTGTTCCTAGGAATGACCACGACGGCCATGCTGAAGGGGGACATCACTGCTGTTACACCACTGTCCTGGCACTCCCAGAAGATCGACAGAAGCTGCCGCTCTCCAGGAGCTGCAGAATCTCAGGCGGCGGTGAACGGCGAGGACGGGCTCTACTACGGCCGATATGAGTGGTCAGAGCTGCTCTACGGCAACCCCGACTTACACGAGCCTGATGCAATGGTCTCCAAGACAGGTGGCTGTGTGGTGACCGACAGCAGGAACGTCTACGACCGCCTTATTACCGAGGTTATGGTGATCAAAGGTGGTGAGAAGCGGACCAGCATCGAGCTGCTGGCCATCAAGGAGTCTCAAAGCTGTACCGGAGTGCAACTACGCTGGGTTCACAATGAAGCTCAGTTGGCCAACAGCCTGACCAAAGCAGGAGGACCAAGGGAATACGAGCTCTACGTGAAGATGCAACACCAATGGCGTCTGGTGGAGGATGAGTCCATGATGTCCGCCAAACGGCGGAAAGAGATGGGACTTCAACCACTTCAGCACAAGGACCATCCCAATGTTTCTCAGGGTGAGAGTGTTAATGATACCTAAGTGATTCGCAGAGATCCACAAGAGCCAATTGCGCTCTGAGTTTGAAGAGGGGGAACCTTCAACTCTAGAGGGGGAGGGGGGCATGCAAGTGAAACTTGTATCCCTCACTCGCTAGCCCTCTCAGCCAGGATTATCGCGATGACCGACAGCCTATGGAAGGATCAAAAGCTCGCCAGGCGGGCCAGGGATTTCTCTTTAGCTCCGTACGTATCCGAGCCATATCGAAATCCCGTGCCATCCTTGACTTACCTCCTCGGCCTGATCATTGTGTGCTACTGCAGTTGCTACCGCTTTCAGGGTTTAGGGGTTTAGGGTTTAGGGGTTAGGGTGTGTCACAGTGCCACGGCGCGCCCCACCCATGGAGTGGTCGTGGGTCGCGCCGTCTTCGTAACGTGGAACCCACCCACAACCACCCGAAGCAGGACTAGAACGGGTTTTGTGTTCTGCTTCTTCTTATTCGAGTGCTGCACTAGCCGAAAAGACGTTGCAATGTTGCGGAACGTCAAAGGGACATCCGAGTGATGTAGTCACAAAATAGCAGCGACGCCCTCGCTCGTCCTCGCCGGCCGCCAGAGTCGTCCGTCAGCCGTCGTCAGAGTCGTCCGTCAGGGCCCAGTGCCAGGCCTCCAGAAGTGGTCTGCAGCCGTCCGCTGTCCGTGCCAGTCCGGCCAAGAGTGCTGATCATCCAGTCGGCCGCCAGGGTTTTTTCGCCCGGCAGTCCGTGCCAGAATTGTCCAGCTTTGCCGCCAGACTCGCACTCCAAGCTCCTTGCCAGAGTCGGCCACTGTCCCCAAGCTCTTTCTAGGACGTCCCGTCACTGGGTCCGCGCAGGGTCACCCCGCTGTCCCCGCCAGGGTCGCTTGGTCAGGGTCGCCGTCCCCGCCAAGGTCCTTACGCCGTCCTTGCCAGGGTCGTCCGCCGTCCCCGCCACGATCGCCCGCCGTCCCCGTCCGCCGTCCTCCAGAATCGTCTGCCAAGCTGTTTTTGGCCTTTTTAGTTGCTGTCAAAGCCAAGTGCCCGCCAGAGTGTCCGCCGTCCCCGTTAGGGTTTCCCCCCGTCCCCGCCAGGGTCGTCCGTCGGCCAAACTGTTTTTGGCCTTTTCGTGCCTGTCAAAGTCATCGCCAAGTCCCCACCAGAGTTGTCCGCCGTCCCCGCAGGGTCACCCCCCGTCCCGTCCGCCATTTTATCCAGAGTCCGCCAGAGTCGTCCGCCAGGGTCGCCCGCCGTCCCCGCCAGGGTCGTCCGCCGTCCCCCTCCAGAGTCAAGCTGTTTTTGGCCTTTTTAGTTGCTGTCACAGCAGAGTCGTCCGCCGTCCCCGCCAGGGTTGCCCGCCGTCCCCGCCAGGGTCGCGCGCCGTCCCCGCCAAAGTCGTCCACCAAGTCCCCGCCAGGGTCGTCAGCCCCGCCAGGGTCGCTCGTCAAGCTCTTTCTACCAGGTCCCGTCCCCGCCAGGGTTCTCGCGCTGGGAGATAAGGCGCCATCCCCTCCAGAGTCGTTTTGGCTTTTTCAGTCCCTCAGAGTCGCCAAGTCCCCGCCAGAGTCGTCCGTCGTCCCCGCCAGGGTCGCCCGCCGTCCCCGCCAGGGTCGTCCGCCGTCCCCCTCCAGAGTCGTCTGCCAAGCTGTCTGACGTCCCCGCCAGGGTTGCCCGCCGTCCCCGCCATCGCGCGCCGTCCCCGCCAAAGTCGTCCGTCCACCAAGTCCCCGGGTCGTCAGCCGTCCCCGCCAGAGTCGCCCGCCATACCCGCCAGGGTCGCTCGTCAAGCTCTTTCTACCAGGTCCCGTCCCCGCCAGGGTTCTCGCGCTGGGAGATAAGGGTACCCAATTTTACTATTGTGCCCCATGGCTAGCAGTGCCAAATCAGGTCTGGTAGACTCGATCTGCTTGGCCAAGCAAGCAGATCTCGAAGCGGTAGCGTTCAGTGGTACCGGCCGCCGCCGGGCGCGGGCGGCCAATGGTTTAGGGTTTAGGGTTCCGAAAGCGATGCAAGATCTGGCTGTCTGCTCTTGATGTGAATGTAGTGTAGCTCGAGCATGTCAGTCTGCCCGAACGAAAATGCAGACTGGAGCCCAGGCGCGCCTTCCGCACCGCAAGGACAGCAGCCACTTGGAGGATCAGGGGACTTCGCAACTGGTTACTTAATAGACTTTTAGTATCATAACACCAATTACTGTACGGTCCCTTGTAAGGTACTTAGAAGTTTACTTACTACCCACTTGCTAAGTCTCCCGACCCTCCAAGCACCACTTTTTGGACACCGAGATCCAGCTCCGCCATCCGGGCTTGAAAGCACGGCCCTGATCGCGAGGACGCGGTGATGACTATAGGGGCTTGAATAATTCCTATACTATTTTGGGTTACTATACAGGAATCTCCTTATGGGTTCCTTCTAGATCTTTCCGGGTGTCTGGGTTTCCTTTTGTAACTGCAATTATAACTCTAGAAAAAGGGCCTCAAAACCTCACTGTTCGAATTGTTGAGGCCCGTATCTTACTTGGTTTAGGGTTTGGGGTGCTGGAGTTGCTAACTCAGGCAAGCTGTGCTAGCTTGCGTTGCGCGAAATGAAAGCTTCCCAGAGACTCCAAAACCCCTTAATTAAGGAATATACCTTAAATTATAATAGGAGCTCTAATATGATTTCAGGTATATTGCTCAATTCAGGGGTTTTGGAGGCTGTGGGTTGGGATGCGGCATCTCTCATCCTGGCCTTTGCGTTTGTCATTGACAGTACTCGAGGTCTGTTTGTGCCACCTCTGAACCCTAGACCCTAAACCCTATCCCATGAGCCAAGCCCCGAGAAGGACAGCTCTCTTCGTGGTGTCCCTTGGAGTGTGTGCCGGGTGCATCGCTTTCAGGCCATGTTACAGAAAGGACAGCGATTTTTGGGTGGTTCGTTTGAGCTGCATGCTGCTGCTGTTGTTGTTGTGGTTGGTGGTGCTGGTGTTGGTGGTTGTGGTGGTGGTGGTGGCGCTGTTGGTCGTGGTGGTGGTTGTTGTTCTTGGAGCATCCGCCAGTGAGCGCGGGTTCTGTTGCCACCACCATCGCCACTACCGGGGGCGGTACCACTTCCACAACTGCCACCGTTACCAGTGTTGCGGTTGCTAGTGCTAGTCCAGCCAATAATTCTAAGGTCTTAATGTCAGAGCTGTCTGTTGAAGGGCGTCGGCGTAGGCGTATGAGAGATTCCGAAAGTAAGGGGTACCTTGTTTTGGGGTCCTTATAATAAGGACCCTACTATTTAGGGTACTATGTCAGGGTCCCCTATTTTCGGAAAACCCCCATATAAGCCTCCCTGCCCCTGGCAGTGCAGCGCAGGACCGCAGTGAGATCGCGGTTCGCAAATCTGCTCGCCATGAGGCCCGTTTCAGGTACTTGGAGGGTCGGGGGACTTAGTAATGGTTTATCTTAGGGACTTATGAGTACCATAACACCAACTAGGGTCCCTTTTAGCGTACTTATAAGTTTACTTACTACCGACTTACTAAGTCCTACGATTCTCCAAGTAAAGTCAGGCCACACATAACAGCCACTTGCTACAAACATGGGCAACCAAACAGAAGCTTTTCACCAGATTCTGCAGAGTCTATGTTGCTCCACCGAATGTTTCTGTATGGTTTGCGGGGTTGGGGACTCAGTTCTTAGAGACTTTTACTTTTAGTTTCAGAAGTGGGGGTTTCACAAATGGGTGCTCGAGCACTCTAGCATCGCAGCACTAAGCCCTGAAGCCTACGGTGAACCCCATAAAGTTGGAAACCGGATTAAGGCCGAATGGTGCCGGGATTCCCTATACATGACTCTGAAGGATTGAGGCTATTGGGTTTCCAACTTTTGGGCTTCTACTCTAAACCGACTGCAGAATTTCGAAGGGACACTCCTGCGACAGCCGAAACTCACGTGTAAAACCGCACAGGTCTCGTCAGTTCTCCTGGCACGCACCACGACGTGCTGGAAGAAGCCTGAAGAGGTTCAAGCATTGGGAATTGAATGACAAGGCCTGGGATTCATGTGACAGCTCCCACAGCTGCACTTAGCAAGCGCTTGGTCCCAACTTAGAGTTCACACGTGCGAATGCAACAATGCTGGTAAGTAGTGATGACATTTATGGAGGAGTGACCGGTTCCGGGTTTCAGGTTTTCCGCTTGAAGGGTTCAGGGTTTAGGGTTTCCGAGAGTTTCTGGTGTAGGTGAAGCTTGCAGTGCAGTTCATGTTCATGCTGAACTGGCTGGCGATCCTTTAAATGCAATTGCTACCTGACCAAGCTACTTGCAAAAGCCACTTCTCAGGCAGGAGGCGGGTTGATCTTTTTGGACCTTCGCTGAAATCACACATATGGGAATGCGCAAGAACACCCTAAACCCTCAACCCTAAACCCTAAACCCTGAACCCTAAACCCTCAACCCTAAACCCTAAATCGTAAACCCAACCTTTCTGCACTCCACTAGGTCCGTAGGTGCGCAGTGCCAGGTCGACTGCAAGCCTGGACTGTGAGGACATGTTTTAGTTTTCGCAGCCCGGGCGAGGCCACTGAGGTTTGGAGTTGAGAGCTTTCATGCCTGGGGGACCTCCCCAGAGACTCCAAAACCCCTTAATTAAGGAATATACCTTAAATTCTAATAGGAGCCCTAATATGATTTAAGGTATATTCCTTAATTAAGGGGTTTTGGAGGCTCTGGGTCTCAAAGCCATGTCCTTTGTGTGTTTGCCATGCACAACCAGGAGGGGTGTGATGCAAGCTCTCGAACTTCGCACCCAGAAAGCTTTCAGTTTTAACATGTTGACATCCTTTGCCGATATGCGGCTGCGCAGACCACTGCGTTTCTGAAGCTGGCGGGGGGGGTCAACACGTGGTGTGACGCCATTTGTAAAAAGGTTTTTTGAAGGAGCCCTGAAGTTGGACCCATGCGCCATGCGGGTTGCCTTGGGGCTCCGGTTACCTGAATAATGCCTTACTGGGGTATTTCTTATATGTGGTTTTTCAACCTAACGTAGGAACCTGATGAAGAAACCCTGGCCCTATAAACCCAATACAATAGGATTCATACAAGGAACCCGAATAACGACCCAAGGTTTCTTAATCAGGTTCCTACATTATGATAGCACCCTTATTATAGATCTCTTATAGGAGCCCTTATAGGAACCCCTTCAAAAAGGAACCCTAAAGAAGGGCCCCCAGGGGTTTCTTCATCAGGTTCCTACTATTGAGGTAGCTGGAGCCCCAAGGGGTTGCTGTACTCATTTGTCAACGGGTGTTGAAGGAGGGTCGGGGGACTTAGTAAGTAGGGGCTCCTTTAAAGGGGATTATAAGGGTTCCTTTAAAGGGGTCTCTAGGGGTACTATAGGGTTTAGGGGGTCAGGGGCTTAGTAAGTAGGTAGTAGGTAGACTTATAAGTACCCTAAAAGGGACCCTAATTGGGGTTATGGTACTTATAAGTCCCTAAACCTAACCAGTTACTAAGTCCCCCGACCCTCCCAGTAGGTACTGCCCCCATACAGTAAGAGAGTCTGTAATAGGGCTACTATTAAGGTCCTAACATATCTATAGTATGAATATTATTCAACTATTACTGAGTGGGGGCCGTACCAAAAATACAGGGTTGAAAGATGGGTCACCCTAAACCCTAAACCCAAAACCCTAAACCCTAAACCCTAAACCCTAAACCCTAAACCCTAAACCCTAGTTCCGATCTTTGCTCCTTTGGTTTGAAGCAGGGTCTCCCGGGGCGAGGCCTCGTGCCATCAAATTCAGTACAGCTCTTGGATGGTGGGCTGTAGCGTTCGCGCTTGGGCCCGCCGCCACATCATAGGAAGCGCGGCTTTCTTGGTTTCAAGAGTTTTAGTCAATTTTGGCGTGGCTCTTGTTGTTGTGCTGCAAACACTGCGACACATCAGCTGAGCCACCTCCAACAGAGTTGGGAGCACAGCCACATGCGACTTGTGCTGAGCAGCACAATCCGCCTTGAGGCCACAGCGGCAGAAGGTGGAGTGGCCATGCTCTGAAATGGACTCTCCCGGCAAGTCTACAACAGAGGTGCAGGGCACTGTAGATGCCGAGGTCAGGATACAGAAGCAGATCTGGGCTGGGAGAGGCTGTCAGCATGCAGACTGACATCTGGAAATCATCCTGTTATTAGTGCATGCTTGCGTGCTTCTATGCCTCGCAACCGTGAGCGGACATGCCACTGCAAAAGCCGACCATTCCATCTGCTGATATGCGAGATCCTGCGGTGAAGGGTCTTGGCGGCATTCCGCCCATGATGGAGAGTAAAGGTACCCGGTGTTGCACCGAGGAAGTGTCTTCTCGAAATAGTGGTCAAGGAGCGACACATCTTGACCTTGTGCGGCATCTGCAGCGGGCTCATTAGGTGACAGGAGTGTCGACCAGCAGCCATGTTTTTGCATCCTTCTCTAATTCCAGAACCCACGCACAGACTTGCCGCGAGAATCTCTAGGCCCTGAACCCTAAGCGCTAAAAGCCCTTGTAAACCTTACGCCCTGGAAAATTGGGCAAGGTAGGAGATGACATATCGAACCTAGTATATTGGGGTTATAGCGCCAGGGTTTCTTAAACCCTAAACCACGGTTCCTACATTCGCCTGCAGTAGCATCTTTGGGCCCGCTGCCGGAATTTCGAGCCAAAGCCGTCCAGCCTTGGCTTGAGACTTTTTTCAAGGTTCCGAACCTAAATCCTAAGAGGGTTTGGGCCTTAGGGTTTAGGGTTAGGGGTTTGGTTCAGGGTTTAGGGTTGAGGGATATACCTTGAACTATAGGGACCTGAATATGACGGTTTCAGGTATATTCCTTAATTAAAGGGTATGGGCTTGTTTCAAGAATCCGATTTCATGAGGCTTTCCAGAGAGGCGACGTCGTGTCCTCTTATAAATTTCATGTTTTACTTCCTTCCATGATCTTCCATGTCATGTCTGACAATTCTAACACAACTCAATCTAGCGTAGTAACATGTAATATAAAACGGTACAAAACGGTGTAACATAATAGAATAGAATAGAATGGAACGGAACAGAAATCATGCAACATAACACAAAAATACGAGGCAATATAGAACAGAATAGAAGAGAGCAGCCTAGTCTTGTCTAGTACAGTGCAGTAGAACTTTGATTTGAGTTCGCCTCAGAATCCAAGTGTCATGTGGCTACCTTAAGAGGTGTGTTTCGGTCATGTTCTGGGAAAAAGACGTCGTTATTTTCAGGCTTCCTTCAGGTTTACTGTTAGCATTATCATAGCAATCGACTTCCTTCCTGAAACGGTTTCCTTTGAAGGGTTTAGGGGTTAGATCAGTAGACTTTACGTTTTAGGGTTTAGGAGATCTTCAGGATGCCCAGATGTCCCGAGATCCTACCCGGTGCAGGCAGAACGTTGCCGCAATTGCTGGTGCAGCTGACCCCAAGGACTGTGCCGATAATGCTATGGTCGGCTGATAGGCTTAGCATCTGGCTGGGTCAGAATTCCATGTGGAATTCATGGGGAAGTTCACTTCTTGGTCCTTATAATGGCCCTTGTAGTAGAGAAACCCTTTGAAGGAACCCTATACCCTAAAGGAACCCTTATATATGGGCTAGAACCCCAGAGACTCCAATACCCCTTAATTACGGAATAAACCTTAAATTATAGTAGGATCCCTTATATGATTTAAGGATCCGAGGGCTCGAAGCTTCAACTCAATCGGGTCCTCTTCGCACGGAAAGGTCCACTTGGAGGGTCGGGGGACTTAGTAAGTAGGTAGTAAGTAGACTTATAAGTATCCGAAAAAGGACCTTAATTGGGGTTATGGTACTTATAAGTCGCTTGGGGTTTAGGGTTTAGGGCTCATGGCGGAAATCCGACTCAACTCCCCACAACTGGCAGGCATGTTCAGTTCTACATCAGAGTATCCTCTTCTGACACTTCGAGGTTCATGGGTAGTTATAAGTGGGGTTATAAGTAGGGTAACATGGTTATAACCCATCTTAGGGGACTTATAACCCCACTTATAACTGCCCATGAACCTCCAAGTAGCAAGGACGTCAAGCTGTAGGATCCTTAGAGTGAAAGGCACGCTGAGAATGGCACTCAAGTGTGGGACTGAAGTGTTGCCCCAAACCCGAAGCCCCAAACACCCTCAAGTGGGAGTTTCCGAAATTTAGGGGTACCTTATTTGGTTGTACTTTTTTTCGGATCCTACTATTTAGGGCCTTTAGGGTACTATATTAGGGTCCACTATTCTCGGAAGCCTAAACCCTAAACCCTAAACCCTAAACCCTACACCCTAAACCCTAAACCCTAAACCCTAAACCCAGACTTAAGACTCCCGCAAGCGACCAGCGACCTGCCCAGCAGACCCTCTGCAGGGCGGCCACTCACAGCGGCGATGCCTCGACAGGTGCTATCCTGGGTCCGTTCGGTGTTAGGGTTATCCCTGTTAGGGTTTTGGGTTTGTGGGGCTCGGGGTCTGGAGGTCTTGGGCTTAGAGAGTTTTAGGGTTTTCGGTGTGAGGGTTTAAGTCCAGAAAGCCCAATCTATCGCCAAATGTACTTACAAAAATATAGCGGCTGCCTACGGTTCTTCCGTCACATGTCCTAAGAGAAGGGTATCGGCTCTCTTGTGTGGGGTTTAGGGTTACCATGGGCCTTTTGTAGGAGGTTTAGGGCTTAGGAGCATGGTGCTTGTCGTGCAGGGAACCTTGCCTCCTGTGCCTGTCAGGCCATTCCTGATGGCAAAGACTCGCGGCCGGGACTGTTCTCCGCCAGATTTGACGGCAGTGACGTCGAGAAGAAATTCCGCGAAGTCTACCGCATCCTCAAGGAGCATATAGTATCGCATATCATAGTACACTGTCGTATCTTATACTTGGAATTTTTCCCCGGGTACTCAAGGAGCATGGCTATCCGGTTCTCATGGTGAACGCCCGCGCCGGCGCCGACTTCGGAGATGACACCATGGCTTTCCTTGGCCAACTCAAGAAGAAGAAGGGCGTCTTGCTTTCCGTGTGTACCTGGCACTATGCGGAGGTCACGGGTTCCAAGTATTCGTCGCCCTAAACCCTAAACCCCTAAACCCTAAACCCCTAAACCCTAAACCCCAAAAGGTCACGGGTTCCAAGTATTCGTCCTTCGAAGAGCTGAAGTTTGCTCATGGCAACGACCTTGACATCCTGCCCCTCCGAGTCTGTGAGGATCCTTGGCCACCAGAGCCACCGAACGATGAGGACGGCAAGGCTGCAGGGCTTCTTTGTCATAGTTGGGAAACATTTTACGGTTTTATGGATAGGAAGAACAATGTGCATTTTTAATTCTATCCCAACCATGGCCTAGGCTTCTTGCAATGGCCATCCCCCGCAGCAGGGTTTTTGTGGACTGCCGAAAGCTGAGCGAGCAGGAGATTGCCTTCAGGATTGCAGAGGAGTTGCGGCAAGGTGCCATTCCCATCGGGCATGGAAAGAAGGACAGGCTTTGCATTCCGTCGGTATTCGGTAGCTCCGAACGATCCCGAAGAAGCCGAAGCCCGGAACTATCCGAAACTTCCTTAGCCGTACACACACACATATACATATATGTATATATACATATCTAATTTTGTATATATATATATATATATATACTTATACACACACACACACACAAAAACCTGAAAGTTCCCTGCGGCCCTGAGCCCGCAACCCGCTCCCCGACACCTTGCTCCGAAAACTGCTGTTGATGATATGGGATTTATTGTATATTCCTTATTATGGGTAGTGCAGGACTTATATCCCTAAACCCTAAACCCTATAGATCCCTTTAAAGGAACCCCTTAAAGGTACCCCTCACAGATCCCTTGAAAGGAACCCCTTAAAGGTATCCTTTATAGATCCCTTTAAAGGGAACCCCAGGATTTTTATCATCAGCCGTGGGGGGCCCTGGAGGATGGCGCTGCGACCTTTGCGCCCGAACCGCGGACCTCGAAGGCCATGGCCTTTTGGGTCACACCTTCCATTAACTGGGGCTTGGGGGGTTTGGGGGGTTTAGGGTTTTGGTGGTTTTGTTTAGAGTTTAGGGTTTGGGGGGTTTAGGCTTTGGGGTTTGGGGGGTTTAGGGGGTTTAGGGTTTGGGGGGTTTAGGGTTTAGGGTTTCGGGGGTTTTGTTTAGGGTTTAGGGTTTGGGGGGTTTAGGGTTTAGGGTTTCGGGGGTTTTGTTTAGGGTTTAGGGTTTGGGGGGTTTAGGGTTCAGGGTTTGGAGGGTTTAGGGGGTTTAGGGTTTGGGGGGTTTAGGGTTTTGGGGGGTTTAGGGTTTAAGGTGTTGGGGTTTAGGGTTTGGGGTGCAGGGTTTAGGGTTTAACCCGCCAGAACCGATGTTTTGTAGGGTGCTTATAAGACCAATTTTAGGTTTATAGTAAGAGCCCACCAATTTGTAGGGATATGGGTTTAGTAGGTCTAGGACTAGGACTTCTTGCTACGAAAGGGATCTAGGTTGTAGACCGTTCTTCGGGCGCATGAGAGGGAATGCTCCCAAAAAGGCTTTTGCGGTCATCCACTGCTAACTTGCAAGAGCTACATGGATGGTTGTCAAAATTGGGGGTCCCTTTTTGGGTCTCTATTATGATACGGCACCTACTATTTAGGTTACCCAACAAGGGTACCCTAATTTTGACAACTACCCACATAGCTATATGAGTGAGGCGGGATTCTCCTCGCAGGAAGGGCATCAGGCCCCGTAAAAAGTCACCAGTGCATGTGAAGGATTAAGATCGTCTTCTGTGGGACTTTTTCAGAGATGGGTGTTCTTCTGCTTGGAGGTTCATGGGTAGTTACAAGTAGGGTTATAAGCAGGGTAAGTATACTTATGACCCACATTAGAGGACTTATAGCCCTGCTTATAACTACCCATGAACCTCCAAGTCTGGCCCAAGAAGAGATGGATGCGCAACGAATGTTGGCCAGCGCGAGGACGCCGGGAAACCGACATCGCCCACGGCAGCCGCCGGCAGAGAAGACGCCAAGGCTTCGTAAGGGCTTCGCGATGAGGGAGGACGCGGGAACCTACCTGAAGGGTCGGGGGACTTAGTAAGTAGGTAGTAAGTAGACCTATAAGTTCCCCAAAAGGGACCCTAATTGGGGTTATGGTAAGTATGAGTCCCTAAAATAAACAATTACCAAGTCCCCCGACCCTCCAAGTAGCATGGGGAGTCGAGAGCTTTTGTCAGTCCCTTTTCTCGCTGCAAGGCTTGGTTTTCTTTGGCCCAGAAGGGCGGAGGAGAGCGGGAAGGGCGATCCTACACCGCGAAGGACGGGTGCTGTTGGGTAAAGTGGTGCGATGCTTTGGCGTGAAGCTTGTGGGTTGTTTTTGTGAGAATTTCAAACTTTTGACAGTGCAGGAGTGCTTCGTGAAGTCGCTAGAGATCGACAGCACCAATGCCCACGCCTGGTATGATTTGGGAAAAGACCACGGTGGTGCCAGCATCAAGGGTGCAACATACAGCAAAGCGGAGTGCTACGCGAAGTCTCTGGAGTATGCTGACACCAAGCATGCCTGGCGCAATCTGGGGGTTCACGGCGGCGGAACGGTGAAGGGCAGACAGTACAGCCAGAAGGAATGCTTCGTGAAGGCACTTGGGTGCAGCAGCACTTTCGCGGATGCTTGGCACAATCTTGGACAACTAGATGGCGGAAACGTACAAGGCAAGGAATACAGCAAGCAGGACTGCTACATCAAGGCTTTGGAGTGCGATGATACCCTTAAATGCGCCTGGCGCAGCCTGGCCAAGCAGGGTGGTGGCATAGTCGGTGGCCGATCCTACAGCGCTGCCGACTGCGAGGAGAAGGGCAAGGAGCGAACTAATATAGGTGCCTTACGGATAATAATAATAATGATAATAATGGGTTTGGGGGGTTCTTATTACATGTTTTAAAAATAAACCCCAAAACTTGTTCTAATTAGTAAAGGCCCCTTTCAGCCCTTTAGTAGCCTTCAGTAGCCTTGCCAACTCTTTTCTCGGCAGTTTCGACTCGCGGTGCGCTTTGCTTACCGCTGGTTAGTAGAGAATGGAAGAATGCTAGAAATTGTTGTTATAATTGTACCCCATTCCTCCGTTCCCTACTAACCAACGGTAAGTTTGCCATGCAGGAGTCCGCGGATACAGCACCGGTGGGGCACTCGGTTCGTGCGAGGTGTCGTTGTCGGGGGACTTAGTAACTGGTTATTTCATCGACTTATAAATACCATAATCCCAATTAGGGTCCCTTTCAGGGTACTTTTAAGTCTACTTTCTATCCAAGCAGGGTCGAATTGCAGATGGGCTGCTGTCTCGAGGCAGTTGCGGGCAATGTGGACTTGGACACTCGGAGAAATCCGTATTCGGGCTATGCCGGCCGGAAGCATTAGAATAGTGTTTCGGGGCCCATGATGGTGATGAGGAACCCCCCAAAATAGTGTAGGAAATTCATAGGGCCCCGATATTAGACCACCATGCCACAAAAGAAGGCTTTATATCCCTGTACTCGCCTCGGCCTGTGCCGAAACGGTTGGAGTTTCCTGCAGAAATCTCACGTTTCCGTTCCTCTTAATCCCCTTCGCAGACCGCCACCCCCTTCCTCCGGACTCATTCACAACCCCCAACCTTAAACCCTAAACCCTAAACCCTAAACCCCCAAGACCAGATGGTGAAGTTTCGTCTCCTCCAGCAAAGGTCGGTTGTTGGTAGCAGTCTGAGCAAGAATTTCCTCCCCCCTCCCCTATTTAGGGTTTAGGGTTTAGGGTTTAGGGATATATCCTCCCAGAGAAACAGCCGTCACTTGCAGCTGGGCCGAGGCGGACAACGTGAAGCGTTTACACGCCAAGGCTTCGCAAGGGCTTCGCGACGAGGGAGGATGCGGGAATTCTAGCACGGGGAGTCGAGAGCTTTTGTCAGTCCCTTTTCTCGCTGCAAGGCTTGGTTTTCTTTGGCCCAGAAGGGCGGAGGAGAGCGGGAAGGGCGATCCTACACCGCGAAGGACGGGTGCTGTTGGGTAAAGTGGTGTGATGTTTTGGCGTGAAGCTTGTGGGTTGTTTTTGTGAGAATTTCAAACTTTTGACAGTGCAGGAGTGCTTCGTGAAGTCGCTAGAGATCGACGGCACCAACGCCCAAGCCTGGTTTGCCCTGGGAAAAGACCACGGTGGTGCCAGCATCAAGGGTGCAACGTACAGCAAGTCAGATTGCTATGCGAAGTCTCTGGAGTATGATGACACCGGAATGCACGTCTGGCGCAATCTGGGGCTTCACGGCGGCGGAACGGTGAAGAGCAGACAGTACAGCCAGAAGGAATGCTTTCAGAAGGCACTGGGGTGTAACATCACTTTTGCGGAGGGCTGGAACAGCCTTGGATATGTGGGTGGCGGAAATGTGCACGGAAAGGATTACAGCCGGACGGAATGTTATGTCAAGGCTCTGGAGAGCGATAGTTCACTGAAGCTCGCCTGGCACAACCTTGCAAAGCAAGGTGGTGGCGTGGTCCGAGGACGGTCCTACAGTGCCGCCGAATGCGAGGAGAAGAGCAAGGAGTAAACCTTCCTTGCCAAACTCTTCTCTCGGTGGCTTTTCCGCGGGCCCTGTCCCACCAGAACGGCAGGAAAGTCCCACGACCGTGTCCTGTGCATCTGTTTGCCTCAGGCCGAAAACGTAATGTTCCCAGGGGGAAGCGTCGGCCTTAACCAGCAAGTGACACTGCGAGCCCTTGGCTCCAATGCTGCCTGAGACCCAGCTGTCTCCGTACTCGCACTGATAGCCGAGAGAATCGTCTTAATAATTGGAATAGGAATTTGGGGCCCATTATACTATAATTGTAAGATGGAACCCGCCAAAATAGTGTAGGTAATTGTTGATTATTATGGCCCCTACACTAAACCCCCATAATATCCCTTGTAGTAATCCTTGGAGACCGCTTTAAAAGGAACCCTTAGGGACCATCCCTTTAAAGGCCCCTATATTAGTTGTGCAATCCTCTTTTTCAGACCCCCCTAGTAGTATTGTGGAGGTTAAGGAAAGGGTTCCTTTAAGGGGCCCTTTAAAAGGGATATATATATATATATATATATATATATATATGGTACCCCCCCCCCCCCCCCCCAGGACCTACCTCCAAACCCGTCGGCCTACACACAGGATACCATACCCCATCACCTACACACACACACACACACACACACACACACACACACACACACACACACACACACACACACCACACACACACACACACACACACACACACACACACACACACACACACACACACACACACACACACACACACACACACACACACACACACACACACACACACACACACACACACACACACACACACACACACACACACACACACACACACACACACACACACACACACACACACACACGCACACACACGCAACATGGACCTGGGTATACGAAGATTAGTGTATACGAACATGACTATACCAGAGGCCCGGCTGCATTAAAACCCGCATTAAAATTAAAATTTATTGCAGCCAGGCCGGTGGAACCAAGAACCAAGAACCAAGATGCCCAGGAGTCTTGAATCCTGAATCTTGGTTCCGCGGGCACCGGCCGGGCTGCATTAAAACCCGCATTTAAAAAATTAAATTTTAATGCAGCCAGGCCCGTGGAACCAAGAACCAAGAACCAAGATTCCCAGGAGTCTTGAATCTTGGATCTTGGTTCCGTGGGCACCGGCCGGGCTGCATTAAAATCTGCATTAAAAAATTAAATTTTAATGCAGCCAGGCCCGTGGAACCAAGAACCAAGAACCAAGATGCCCAGGAGTCTTGAATCTTGGATCTTGGTTCCGCGGGCACCGGCCGGGCTGCATTAAATCTGCATTAAAAAAATTCAAATTTTGATGCACCCAGGCCCGTGGAACCAAGAACCAAGAACCAAGATGCCCAGGAGTCTTGAATCTTGGATCTTGGTTCCGCGGGCACCGGCCGGGCTGCATTAAATCTGCATTACAAAAAATTAAAATTTTGATGCACCCAGGCCCGTGGAACCAAGATTCAGGATTCAAGACTCCTGGGCATCTTGGTTCTTGGTTCTTGGTTCCACGGGCCGGGCTGCATTAAAGTTTAATTTTTTAATGCAAATTTTAATGCAACCCGGCCGGTGGCCGTGGAACCAAGATTCAGGATTCAAGACTGCTGGGAACCTTGGTTCTTGGTTCTTGGTTCCACGGGCCGGGCTGCATTAAAATTTAATATTTTAATGCAGATTTTAATGCAACCCGGCCGGTGCCCGTCGAACCAAGATTCAGGATTCAAGACTCCTGGGAAACTTGGTTCTTGGTTCTTGGTTCCACGGGCCGGGCTGCATTATTTTTGTTAATGCTGGTTTTAATGCAGCCAGGTGGCTGGAAACCATGTAAATATTCACGAAACATATCGGTTTGCCATTTTATGTGCCACATGGCCTGCAAGCTGGATGTTTTGACCCTTGGAGGGGCCCAACTGTAGAAGACAGATGTTTTGAGCTTAGAAAAGGCTAGCCGTGCAAGCTAGATGTTTTGACCCCTTGAGGGGCCCAGCTGTACAAGACAGATGTTTTGAGTAAATACCGCGTCAAAACAACGGCCAAGGATCCGGGCAAAATCTGGCGGAAGTGATCCGCCACCGAGCAAAAAGCCTGTAAATACCGCATTAAACAAAGGGACAGGGATTTCACACATCTGTTGGCAAAACTTAAACGTAGGGCTTTAAGTCCGGGGCGGATCAACTCCCTAAACCGTAAGGCCCTAAACCCCAGGGGCCCCAAACCGCAGAGCCCTAAACCCCGAGGCGCCCTAAACCGTAGGGCCCTAAACACAAGGGGCCCTAAACCGTAGAGCCCTAAACCCCAGGCCCCCTAAACCGTAGGGCCCTAAACCTGCAGTGGAGATTAGCGAACGGATTGCTGTGCTTGACAGTTTGATCGCATCTGTACTCCTAACTCCCCCTATGCTTGTGATCATGTCGGGGCGCCCCTCCCTTGTAAAAATTTAGGGCACCAGGTATTATACAGCCTGTCAATATGCACCTCATAGAATATCTTATAGGATACTTCGTAGACTCGTAGACTCCCGTATTAGAATACCCTATCGAATACTTGACAGATAGATGTCAAATATGGAACATCAGTCGGAGCCGAAGATTTGCGAATGTTCAGCTGAGTTGTAGCTTATTGAGTAACGGGTTCCCATGATGGAAACCAGGAACCTACTTGTAAAAGAAGATTTTTAAAGTTCAGTATGGATTAGTGTCTTATCCCGTCCAGAGTTTCATAGAAAATACTCAGGTCGTACCATATACAGTTTATGCAGTATATGCTTTGTATATACCTTATGGACTACCCTGTAACTCATAAAACACCGCATAGAAATCTGTCCTATATATACACCCTATATAGAATACCTTTTTATACGTTACAGCTTGGGATACCCCAAAACCCTACACAAGCCTTTTAGAACACCATCTGGAAAACTTTACAGAAGGTCTTATAAAAACCCTATGAATGATACTCCCCTTATACCTTGTATATGCTCTTGAGAATCCCCTTTGGGATATCCGACAGAAACCGTATAGATCAGGATTTACTTAGGGCCTTTGGGTAAATCAGAAGGAACCCAAGCTTTATGCAGCTTATTGAGCAAGGGACATTTATGAAAGAAATGAGGAATAAAGGAGAACAGCCTGTAGAATACCTTACAGAATACCTTTTCTACAAAAAGGTAAATAAACTCATGTAGAATACGATAGTACCTCATAAAATATTCTATATTCCCTATACACCTTGTACACCCAAGATCTGAGAGTTCCCCAGTTGAATGTGGTTTATTTGGCAACGGGTTCATATCAAGGAATTGCGGAATAGAGGATCTATAAATTCCTTGAAAAATCGATGCTTATTTGGCAAAGGATACATACAGAGAACAAAACTCTTCTGAAGCACATGCTGCACATATCCTATAGAATGCAACTTCTAAACTACCTTATAGCATGTTTTTATACAATTCCACCGATTTGCCCTACATACACATTATAGAATACCATGTGTAATACACTGTAGGATATTTTGAAGAAGAACACCTTTATTTGCTACATCCTGTGTACGTTATGTATGCCATATAGAATACATATACGGTACCATTTAGGATACCCTTTAGAATCCTTTATAGAAAACCTTAAAAGGTACCTTATAGGTACGGACTTTAAATATGGAAAGCCAGGCGGAGCCCAAGATCTGAGAATTTCCAGTTGAATTGCAGCTTTTGGGCAATGGATTCCTATGAAGAAATCAGGAACCAAGAAGACCACCCCAACTACCTTATAAAATACCCTCTCTATGCACCTAAATGAATTTCAAATAAAATACACTATAGAATACCTTCCTACGTATAGGCCGCAGAATGCCTTTTGTACAATACCTTATGGTGCACCCTCTAGAACACCGTATAGAATGACCTATAGAATAACATCCTTACGGAAGACCGCCTATGGAGTATATCCTCAGAATACCTCAAATGTCCTCAAATATACCTCGTAGAATATCCTCTAGAATACCTTTTAAGATACTATTAAGAATAACTTTTAGTATGCCCTATAGATCACGGTTCAAAAAAGGAACATCAGAAATAGCGTAGCATACAGAGGACAGTAGACAATACTTCGTGGTATTGTCTTAGTCTTAGTTCGAACGGTGTAATGTCGTCGTAGACAGGGAAGACTACGCAGTATATAACAGTTTTGTTCGGAGTGGAGTCGTGACATCGTCTAGACAGTACAAGAAGAGGCTTCGAGGTAGGTCCTGGAGGGGGGGGGTAGCATATATATATATATATATATATATAGGGATTCTAGAAGGGTATAGGGTTTATAGGCTTCCCCTTAGAAGTATTGTGGAGGTTACCGTCAGGAAACGGGGTTTATTCATGACTTATCCCTTCAGGCTTAGTACTCTCACAGCAGCCCTTGTAGTAACCCTTTTATCCGGGTGCAAGGTGTGGGTGTTTTAGGACGTCAGAGCGAAACATATTGCAAGTGCCTCGCCTTGAGGCTGCGCTATCTTCTGAGCGGTTTGGGGATTTTTAGGGTCAGGCTTTAAGATTTAGGGGGTTTGGGGCTTGGGTGGGAAAAGCTTTGAATGTCTGGTGCTTTGTAGGGAATGGGGGAATGGTAGTCCCTACAAATTCCCCAACAATGTAAGAGGTAATACGTATTTTCGAAGCCGCGAAAATGCATCTAGGCAGAGCATGCGAAGCATCTGGTGCGCAGAGTGAAGCACAACAAAATACCGGAAGCAGACTATGGCCTGTTACCAGGCACAATCCCAAACGATAAGAACAGAGCAACACGCAACAACATACACCGCAGACCACAAATCCAAAGCCCTAAACTCAACCCACGAAACTCTTAATCGATTACTGCGTGCACGCACATATATATATATATATATATATATATATATCACATATATATATATATATATATATATATTTTTTTTTTTTATTTACGTTGTACCGTACGACAGTCTTCAGT